TTTTGAGATGTAAATCGAAATAATTGGTGAGGTATTTATTTTCTTATAGACTTCGCTTCTGTTTCGTCAGCTGATCTCAAACTATAATAGAAAAGACTCAATTTTAAATATAACACCATCCAATCCAAACCACGGATTTTAAGAAACAATGTCTTTTCGTTACAAAATCACTTTGGTACGGTGTTTTTTGAGAAAACGACTATTATGACAAAAATATTTCGCTAATTGTATAGAATTAGACCCTGAATAATACGTTGTAACAGAAGACATGCATAACGACATCTTTGTGCTGTATCATTAATGTCGTAATGTTGTAAAGCGCTTTTCATTTAAATTTATTGAAGACAATGCATTGTTCCTTATCATATTTTCTTCGAGTACCTTTTCTGAAAGTCATCGAAGCACCTCTTCGTTGTTTGCCGAGATTTAATTGGTATTTTCTTTTATTTGTTCTTTTTAGGTGGTAATTAGCATTATTTATTTTCTTAAATGCGTCGGTTTCGAGAGTTCGTCTCTGTTTAAGACAAAAAGAAATAGGTGATAGAATTTTAATAACACTAGCTGTATTTTTATGTGTTTTCGTTAGTTTCTTTTTAGGATAAAATAAATAAAAATTTCCTTTCTTTTTTATAACGCGTGTGTTTCCTCGGTACTGTTATCTTGGGCACCCACATGCTACGCCTATGGCTGTCAGATCGTTACTTGTCTATTGGGAAATCCTTTTGTTTTGATTACTAACATCTGTAGAGTGTATTAATCACAAATGCATGTGAATGCTACTCAACCAAGAAGTTGAAATGTTAATGTGATATTGACAATATTTTTTTATATATGATTTTTATTTACAAACATTTTTGGGAATTTAATATTCCATAGTGCATTTCTTAGCCAGGGGTAGATACAGATTCAGAAAATTTGGATAATGAATTTTTAATTATAAAAAACAGAGGTTAATGAAAAGCATCTTCATCCCCTTTGTTATTCCCAGCATATTTAGTTCCATCGAGCGTTGTGTGACCTGAAGTTTCCTTATGATGTCGCTTTCAATTTTCCAGGTTTTACATGCAGAGGTTATGACATGACTGGTAATATAGAGGCACATTGATCGAATAGTTTTTGTTATTTTTCTGAATATCTTATATGTTTCTGGTAGTAGGCTTATTGGGCCTTAAGTTTTTTTTTCTTATTGAGCTTTAGTTTATGAATTAGTACACTATGATCGAAAAAAAATCGGCGTCAGCGATGGCTATGAAATGAAGATCGCTGTCATTTTATATGTAAATTTATATGGGTGCTGTCATCGATCGTCATTCCCAGCCAACTGGACGTCATTTTTTTTCGATCATACGGTATTATATTAGCATTAATATTAATGTAAATATAACAATACATTATTGTAAATATTACTGATGTTTACATTTTTTTACTCTAAAAATTATACTGAAGGTCTAACTTAAATTAATAAATTATTCTAATAAATAAGTCAATATTCAATCAAGAACAAAAAATAAATAAACATGAAGCATTAAAATAAATGAAATTCTAATTGGGGAGCCTAAAAAACGTATAGATATTTTGAGAGATCTAATTTTATCAAGACACATACGAGTATTACTAGAAAGTTGATATGTATATATACACGACCCAATTTAAGCACTCACCTTTTGAAAATAAAAAAAAATGGCGCGTGATTTCGGAATCTCTAAAAATAATTCGTACAATTTGAATTAATTAATAAGAATTTCAAATCGATAAAAGATTTGTATACTAACTATCTATAAAAAATACATCAACCTCACGACATAAGAATGCGGGTTAATGTAACGTAGAAACTGGTGAAAAAAATTGCCACAAAGTAAATATTTTCCATGCTTTATTTCTTATTCTTAGATTTTTTCCAGAAAAAATGTATCTCGAAATAACGATTGGAAAAACGTCAAGTAGGCATTGACGCAACAAATTTTTTTATATAAAAATTTAATCACAAATTGAAAATTGAAAGCCTACGCAAAACTACTATGGAATAGAAATTGTAAAATATTCGTTTCAAAATAATGTCACAACGCATTTCATAAAATTATGGAGTCAATCACCCCTTTAGAGCTTATCTGTTTTGTTTTTTGAGCTAGGATGTTCATTAAAAAGTAAATTGTCGGGTTTCGGGTTTTTAGTTGTTACCTCATTTTTTTTTGTTCTTTGCATTGTTAAATTTTATTTTCCTTTACAGTTTATTTTTATTGCTATACAGGGTGAGTCTTAAATAAGTGCAAATAGTTTCAGGGCTGGTAGATCTCGATAAAATAAACATATTTCCTCTTTACCGTTTTTCAATTAAGTTCAAAATAACCGAGATGTTATAGAATACTTTGAAAATTGCCAAAAAAATTATATTTTGCTTAAATTTTGAAATCTATTACCTACGTATGTTGCTATATTATCTATATTATAAAGATATTATTCTTTTTTAACTAAAAATTTAAAAAACTCTCAATTTTTTTTAAATTCCAAATTTTCAAAGAAAAAAATCTCATAGACGTGTGTCTGGGGTAGAAGTATACTACCCCTAAAATATTTGCAATTATTTAAGACTCACCCTGTATAATACTACCCAGGTTTAAAATTTGCGTATACTAATACCGTATGATCGAAAAAAAATGGCGTCCAGTTGGCTGGGAAATGAACATCGATGACATTTCCCATATAAATTTACATATAAAATAACAGCGATCTTCATTCTATAGCCATCGCTGACGCCGTTTTTTCTCGATCATACGGTATAATTCGTAATTTCTTGATAATAAAAAGACCTTGCAAATAAAGATATTTTTTCCAGGCATCTGTAAAATATATTATATCTGTTTTTTAATCTCTTTAGAGATCGTATTGCTAAGTACTTCGAGATTATAATTAATAGAAAACATATTATCTAACGGTCTTTGGATCAGTGACGAATGACAGCTGACAGCTCTAAATTTAAAGAAAACATTTTCATTACTATATTTAAACTTTATACGTCATCAGATCCTAGTAGAAAAATTATTGAATATATATAAATTTTTAAATAGAGCTTTTTGCTTAGATTATTTTATTTCAATTATTATTATTATGTTATACAAGATGTCCGTAAGATTCTTTATAAAATTATTTTCGAAAATTAATTTAGTATGACTATATTTTACCATAAAATGTGCAGGGCGATATTTAAAAGTAGAATGTAGAATGTTTGATCACCCCGACCTTAGAGATCTATTGTGTGTCCCCCTTCCTGGAGTTATAACGAGATATAGCTCATCGTACAGTCTCAAAGCTTTGACAAACGCCACTATCTGAGACGGTTTCACAGAGGCAAGTGGTGCACTCAGTGATGATGTGTTCTGATGTTTCCCCATTTCCTTCACTCAGAATTTTCTTAGCTTCGTACGAGATGTTCGTTGAGGAGATAGTGTCCTGTTAAAAACCCCGTGACAATCCGAAGATTGTTCTTACTTAAATCAAGGAAGGCCTTTGATTTTTCTCGATCGTAAGACCTGAGAAATTTCTTCGAGTATCACCGTTGGAGGATTCCCATTCAAGGTTACGGGTGGAGTCTTCCAGGTTCTTGAGTTCCACTTTAAGTTGGTTTCCACTTGGCAAGCAGAACGGTTCTGGTCCAGTAAGTGGGGTGTTCATAACCGCCCATCTCTTGGTGAGCATCCCTCCATCCCTTGGCATCCAGAGTAGGAAGACTTTCTAGGCATTCTTTGACTAACTTCGAATTGATGGTTACTGAGTTGATTCCTTTTAGTGCTGCTTGACTATTGAATGAGATGGCTATTTCCTGTTTTTGGTAGTTTCTATCATTTAAAAGTAAAAAAGGCAAAATCGCGTCATGTCGAACTAGGAGAAGTTTACCAAGCTGGTACAGGCACATAAAAAGATTTCAATAAATGCCAGCTACTTCGAAATAATATGACACCCGATGTACCTATATATTACAAGCAATTGCGAGACTTTGTATGTCTTTAAAGCCAACTTCCGCTGATGGAGTACAAGAAAATAAAATTTTCAAACATTGTCAGTATTTATGCAGACACAAAGTTAATTAAAACCTTTCTTGTTTAGTTTCTTTCGTTTTATATGCAGAAAAAGATCAATTCTTAGCGGTGTAGATCATGACATAAATCAATGGCGAGCTACATTTACGATTTTTCTTAATTAATGTCTATATAGTTAAAGCCAAACGAGGAGTGTAATCCTTTTATGGCATTTAAGAAAAAAAAAGAGACGGGATACTTTCTTTTAATTACTTTTCATTCCGATGTTATGACACAAATTTACTTTTGCACGAAGGAGAAAAAAGATATTTTTAATATTATTTATGATTTTAATTGGGATCATTAGCATATTTTATTAATATTTCAGATTTATATTGTGACAATTTCTATTTATCTTGCATGATTATACAATTTCATAAAAAGAGATGACCAACATTTCGAACCAGACCGAATCGCATCACGAATTAAATATATTTTTTCTCATGACAAACACAGAGTGGTTACATAAAACCTTTTCGATAATACCATTTCACATATATGTATGTAGATCAATAAACCTTTATAGGCTTAAAGATCGTTAAAAACCATTTTTTTTGTAAATAATTGAAACTATATCCTTATTCCCACAATTAGATTGTATGGTATTAGTAACAGGGCAATTAAAATAAATGAATTTCAATTAAATTCAGCCACTAAGCGGGAAAATTCAGGTGAACTCATTGATGGTAGAATAGAAATATAACCAAAGCAAAAGTCGGGAAAGCATTACCAAAAATTGTAATTAAATAAAAAAAACATTCCGGATTTAAAAAATATTAAATGTACACTAAGAAAACATAATAACAGTACAAAGTAACACAGTATTGGGTATAACAAATATATGAACTAATGTCAAGGAAAATATGCCTAAAATTTTCGTATTTATATTTTCCATAACCCTTCTAAAAGTTTTCTTTTTCAACTTACCAAGTCTATATACTCTCAGTTCTGGAACTTCTTCAAAAGTGTCGTCTTTTAGTTGGAGATATGTTGTTATCACACTCGTATATTCTTCTAAACTTATGTTTATCTGAAAATTAAGAAAAGAAAACATCAATCTTCTCATTTGATAAAACCGTAATTTTTAGAGGAGACTAGCTAAACGCAAAATCGTGATTTGTGACATACTGTATGGTCTTAAAATATCCTTCGTCACTCATTATAGGAAGGAACAGTTTATTCGAATATATAAACAATCTACAAAGCGCGATGATTTTATAACTTCTTTTCTTTGGTCTTTGGTTTGAATCGTGAGGGTTTGAAATGATACAGGCTTATTATTAAGAAGCATATATAAAGCAAAATTTTAATCTCAACCCCAAATAAAGTATTAAATTAAAATAAGTTAAGTGTTAACTTAATTGTTGTCTTATCTATGTTTTTACTTTATACTAATTACTAGTCTTTAGTCTTGTAGCTCTTGGGTACGTTTACACGAATCAACTGATCAGGTTACTTGAATTCAATTTGTATGAATGTATATCACCGTCTAAACTCGATAAATCAGGACAATTGATTAAAACGATCATCATTTCTAATTATTAGATAAAGAAAAGAACGCCTAACTTGCGAGTAAAAATAGCGTTACGCATTAACGTGCCTTAATTTTTAATTTTGGGTACAACTTTTTCCTACAAATAATTTTTATTTGATTGCATCAAGCCTTAATTGTTTTTGAAACTTCCAAGATCCTAACTACAGTTTAGGTATTAAATTACTAGATGCACCATAAGTCCGTGGCCTGACATGAGGCGTACAGTGTAGCGTGGCGTAGAGCGTAGAGGACCGCGTAGCGTTTAAATGCATTAAAGTAAAATGAAGTGGCGTAGCGTACTGCGGATTGACGCGTATTTTCTCACGCTCTACGCACTCTTTTTTAGGCAATAAGCTTTCTGTCAATTATTCTATTGCAAAAATTTTGGCAGTTTGAAATCCGACCTTGCGCACTGTCGCCATTTTGAATCAACTAGCAGAAGCTTTTTGACATGAAATGTGTAAACTCGAAATATGTCAGTTGGATTCCTCTGACTTGATCAATTCATTTGGCACGGGTAAACACACCTTTACAGAAGGTATCTGACGTTTTTCATTATTTTGGTGGTAATTGTCTTGATTTTTTATTAGCCACCATTAATGAACCAATCAATATTTTTAGACTTTACAAATATGTAATGACGTCTATAGTATTTTTTTTCTGTTTTATTTGCGTACGGATGCAGCTATGGAATGCTTGATGGTTCAATGAATTGAGCATTCCTTAACGGTTGACAGTTACTTCCTAAATATAGAAAGCTTTAAAAAAACAACAAATTAAAAAGTTCAATCTGATTTTATATAAAACACATTCTTTATATACTAAAACCTTTAACAAGGATTTATTTGAATTTCTGAATTTGAAAAGAAGCAATGAGGAATACCTCTACTTATAAGTTTTTGAAAGTGTTTTTGAAAAATTTCGTTACATTTTTCTAAATTGGTACCAAAATACCTATACGTATGTAGATCATGCCATTTCAATCATGACTCACACGTTTGGACATTTAAAAAATGAATCGAACCAAGTATATCCGTTTCTTAAAAAAAACAAGACGGAAAAGTACAATAAAAAATTGCTAGACTGTTAGTCCCATTAAATATGGTAAAGTGGTTTTTCCCTGTGATTTTTTTTCTAAATTTAAATTGGTTGCTTTTGAGCCACACATTTGTCATAACAATCACTTGCGATATTCCATTTCTGATTTTTTTAATTAGATAAAGAACTTCTCTCTTCTAGTTTTTTCCCAGTGATTGTCTTTTAATTGATATCTACCATCTACCTACATATTATCATATATCATTAATAATGATGATCAAAACGGTAAATTCGGTTTGCTCTAGGATGAAATAGAAGTCACTATTCTAATTTGATTCATTCAATTTCTAAAAAAATCCTATCCACCATCAACCCCATTCATTATATTATAAGCTATTAATTTAAGTATAGTAAAGTTAAATTTTAGTAAATTAAACGTACCAGTCAAAACATTGGTTGGTCTTTACATTTCCCAAATATTTTACAAATTATTTTTATGTATTAATAACTGGAAAATGTGTCCTTCTGTAAATATTTACTTTAGAAAATCCATGTGCATACTTTAGGTGTCGTAACATAGTAGCAAAGACATATATTTGTTATTTTTAGCAATTGCTTTGTTAACTTCAAAGAATTACGAACCAGAATATCAAAATCCTTGTTATTTGTGTATTTCTGTCTCGAGTAACAAGTAAAGACATTTTAAATGTATACAATTCGTATAGGGAATTCCCTTCTTTAGAGGGGTCGAAATATTTTTAGTAATTCCCATAAAAAAAATAAAAATTGCAGAAAATATTAACCAAAATTGACTGGAACTTTTATTTTACACCAGTTCTAAAATCACAATGCTTGGAATGAATAAAAATTTAAAAAGCTTGGGTAATGATATTAACCATGATTGTTTTTATGAAAGTTTTGGAAAAATTTATTGATTTTTTTTTCAGTAGCACATGAGATGAGCTATTAAATATTTTCATATAGCTCATAAAATTGATTGTATATCATAACTAAACCTCTTTACTACTTTGTTAAAGGTGCGTATTTATTTGAGAAAAACAGTTCTGAATACCTTTAGAAATTGCGTAGTAATAAACTGCAAGCATGTATTAATAATATGAGCTATTGCCTTTTAGTAGGGGAGTCTAAGCTGGGATTTTCAAGGGAGGAATCCTTGCACCCTGTTAAGTACCTCCATCATACATGAACCTTTTTTTTATTTTGAATCATTCAAGAATCACGGGAATAATCTACCGTAACTTATGGTCGCGTCCAAATCGTCAGTTCTTTTGAATATGAGCTTATTATATATGGAGCTTCCAAATGTATGGCAATATGGAGCATATGGAGCTTCGTATGGCAATATGGAGCATATGGCAAATATGGAGCTTCTTATATACCTATACTTGCCATTTTATGAATATCTGACGTGCTCAAATATTTTTTTCTTTTCTTATTTTCTACCCTTTTGTATGGATACCCCCACCATCCAAATGGGCAGATTAATATCCCCCAATAGTTAGGGTTGCCAGCCGTTCTCTATTCCAGAGGACAGTCCTCGTTTCTCTCACGTATTGAAAAAGTCCTCTTTTTTACACCAAACTCAAACTCTGTTTTGTTTGCGGTTTACCCTCTCGTCCTCTATTTTTAAGTTTGAAAGTTGGCAACTCTAGAACCTGGTCCCTACGACGCCGACGCTTAAGTAAATCCTCATTTAGCATCTTGAGCTCCCCTACTATTTATTACCATAGTTGTAGGTACTTTTAATTCTAGAATAGGAGAAAACTACAAATTCTTTGGAATAAGTTATCTACAAAATTTTCTAAATGCTGTGAAGAAGCAATTAATAGCTCTAATAAATTTTGAGGTATATAAAGAATGTTTTATTATTTTTTATAAAATATTCATTTTATTACAACAATCCCACAACAATACTGACTTATACACCTGAGAATACGCAGTGTGACATAGATCTAAATCATTATTAATATGAACTGAGTAATACTATGTTTTCATTTGTGGTTTTTCAGACCAGCAAAGCTAATGATTGTTGTGATACCTCATTCAATCGTGCAGGTATATGAAGAAATTATCTTGAAAATTGTCGAATGCCAGAAAAAAAATCTAGCGGTTAGTTGTGATATATCTGTGGTTTTCTCAGTTCTTTAAATCCATCTAGATATTCTGAGTAAAAAATTACAAATACTACTACACATAATTTATATATTATTTTCTTCTAAGAGTAATTAACCTTTTTTTTATTCAAGATTTAATAAGAAATCCAGGATTCATATACACTTACTTCTGTCAAGTGTATAATCTATGAAGTGTTTAATTATGTCTGTTATCTGTTAATATATACATGAATTTTTCAGAGAAATTCTGGAAATATGCTGATTTTTATTTTATTTTTACAGGCGTATCATATGTTTATTTCATCATTATGGCGTCATTAGTATACGAGATGTGATGTCATTATTATTAAGATAAACTTATAACGTTACTTACACATAATATTTTTGATTATTTTTGTTTTATATATATCTGAATTATTTTATTGCAAAACTATCTGTCACAAACCCGAGCCACAAAAAAACCTACTGTCTTGCATAACTCTTTTTTTTAATAGGTACAAAACTAGTTAATTATTATGTTATGATTCTGGAAATACCTTAAAAATCGTTGTTGGCCTACCTATTTCCTTTATCGGAATTTAATAAATTTAGATTAAATATACAGTTACAATATTAATTATTTCATATTGGACAAGGTCTTATTTAGATCATTTTTAATTAAAGTATAAATTTATGATGTAATGATTAAACATTTTCATTAATATATACTATTATTTCTAATATATTGTATTATAATTTTTATATGAATTTATTTTTGGAACTTAAATTTACAGAATTTAAAATATGGAACTCTTTTGACAAATAAAGCAAATAAAATCAATTGACCCAAATAGTTGAAATCTAAATCTTGGGGTTATCAAATGAATAATAAATCAATGAATGAGTAAATTTTCTTATTGATTGTTCTGGGCCATCTAAATTGTGTTCAATACAGAGAAATTTAAATTAATTTTGAAATTATAAAATATTGAATATATAATTTTTATATTATGTGTTTAATTGTTAAAACTAGTTAAGAAGTTTTTAGCAATAATTATTTGTACTACCAAGGATAACGAAGATCTTAAATATATAATTTCTCACGTGGAAGACTATAATATGAAGAAAGTATTCATTTTTGTACCTGTATCAAATCTAAAAATAAAATCGCCATTCATAGATTTCTGGAAAAGAATGTATTACTAATGTATTTTACATAACATTTATGTTAAAATATTGGTTTTGTAATAATGTAGACTTACCTATGAAGACGTCTGGCTGAATTATAATGTTTCTTTCAACCATTTCTAATATATTTTCAATAAAAAATATATTTTTTTAATTTTGTAGGTTTTTTTAAAATTAATTTACCAAAGTATGGGACTCTGTCGTCAACATTTTATTTGTTTAGAACTAATAGTTAAGACACTAATGTCTTATTTCATAAATTCCAGCATGTTTCCAGCCAACAGGATAATTCAAACAATGGAGCTTTCATGCAACTTTCAGATATAAATTCTGGTTATATAATATTCGATTTGCTGTCATTATTTTCGAAATTCCAAGACCTCTCCCGACCAATTTTATTTGTAGATCTGTGGCTGTCTTTATCATTAGGAAAAGTTTCTTTAAAATGTTTATTCCATATCCCAGTGGGTGCTAGTTTTTTTTTCGTGTAAATTGTTAATTTACATTCCGATGATGAATCAGAAAAATTGTTTATTTTAAGCTGTAAAAATAGTAGCTATTAGCTTTTTGAAATCTGCCAAAAATGTACCCTTAAATGATGTAAGAAATTTTAGTGTCAATGTTCAAAAAATGTAATACCTGTCTACACTTCTTGTTAAAAGATTTATTTTGTTTTGGCTGGTTCACATAATGTTTTGAATAAAACAATATGATTATGAGATGATCCTACTTATGTATGTCCTTTTATCGTAAAAATGCTAAATAGGCTTATCTCACTGAAATTGATAACATTATGACATATACTATAAGTAAAAGTAATAGTGCGCTCAAAGTCGAGGGATGCTGGTGTTAATCAGAGGAACCACAGACAAAGACAGGCAACAACAAGAATATTAAATAACTTTGGGAATTTCCTAATATATCAAATATTTTTATGTTGAATGATCAGAAAAAGGTGTAAGTAAATGTGCGTTCAAACTTGAGGATGCTGGTTATAATCAGAAGAACCACAGACAGAGGCAAGCAACAGCAGGAATATTCATTAACTGTGGGAATTTACTAAAAAATCTTATTTTGCTTTTGATGATCAAAAATGATCAAAAATAGCTGTAAGTAAAAAAGCGCTCAAAGTCTGCTGGTGTTAATCAGAAGAACCACAGTCAAAGTCAAGTAATAGCAAGAATATTCGCTAACTCGGGAAGTTTTCTAAGATATAAAATATGTTGATTTTGAACGATCAAAAAAAGGTGTAATTAAATATGCGCTCAAACTCGAGGGATGCTGGTGTTAATCAGAAGAACTACAGACGGAGTTAAAAGCACCAGTAGAAATATTAGCAAATTCTGGGAATTTCCTAAGAAATCAATATTTTGATTTTGAATTATCAGGAAAAGCTGTAAGTAAAAGTGCGTTCAAACTCGAGGAATGCTGGTGATAATCAGAAGAACCACAGACAGAGCCAAGTAACAGCAGGAGTATTGACTAACTGTGGGAATTTACTAGAAAATTAATATTTTTATTTTGAATTATTAAAAAGAGCTGCAAGTAAAAGTGCGCTTAGAGCTTAGAGCCGAGGGATGCTGGTGTTAATCAAAAGAACTACAGTCAGAGCAACAGTAGAAATATTAACACACTCTCGAAATTTCATAAGAAATAAATATTTTGATTTTGAATGATCAGGAAACGCTATCAGAGTAAAAGTGTGTTCAAAGTCGAGGGATACCACAGTCAAAATCAAGTAACAGCAGGAATATTGGCTAACTCTGTAAATTTCCTAGGAAATAAATATTTTGATTTTGAAAGAACAAAAGGATCTGTAAAAAAATTAAAGGTGCGCTTAGAGCCGAGGGGTGATGGTGATAATCAGAAGAACCACAGACAGAGCCAAGCAACAGCACTAATATTGACTAACTGTGGGAATTTACTAAAAAATTAATATTTTGATTTTGAATTATTAAAAAGAGGTGCAAGTAAAAGTGCGCTTAGAGCTTAGAGCCGAGGGATGCTGGTGTTAATCAAAAGAACTACAGACAGAGCAACAGTAGAAATATTAACAAACTCTGGAAATTTCATAAGAAATAAATATTTTGATTTTGAATTAGCAGAAAAAGTTATAAGTAAAAGTGCGCTCAAACTCGAAGATTGCTGGTGGTAATCAGAAGAACCACAGACAGAGCCAAGCAACAGCAGGAATATTGACGAACTGTGGGAATTTACAATTTACTAAAAAAATAATATTTTGATTTTGAATTATTAGAAAGAGCTGCAAGTAAAAGTGCGCTTAGAGCTTAGAGCCGAGGGATGCTGGTGTTAATCAAAAGAACTACAGACAGAGCAACAGTAGAAATATTAACAAATTCTGGAAATTTCGTAAGAAATAAATATTTTGATTTTGAATGATCAGGAAACGCTGTCAGTAAAAGTGCGCTCAAAGTCGAGGGATGCTGGTGTTAATCAGAAGAACCACAGTCAAAGTCAAGTAACAGTAGGAACATTGGCAAACACTGAAATCTTTCTAAGATATAAATTATTTTCGTTTTGGATGGTCAGAAAAAGCGTTAATTAAAAGCGCGCTTAAAGCCGAGGGATGCTGGTATTAATCAGAAGAACCAGACATAATCAAGCAACTCAGCGAGTTTCCTAAGAAATAAAATATTTTGATTTTGAATACACTTTCAAATGCACACAAAAATGCGCTCAAAGTCGAGGGAAGAACCACAGACAGAGCCAAACGACAGCAGGAATATGGATAAGGGATGTGGGTGGAATAAGCAGAAGAATCAAGCAGATGCAGCTACAGCAGAAATAGTAGAAAACTCTTAAGAAGAAGAATCGCATTAGCTGGAGTGACTGTACAGGGTAGTAGGAAGTACCTTCTGTTTATCAGGAAGCGAGTCTATCCCGAGATCCGCCAGTAGGCTGAACTCGACGGCGGCAACGGTTATGTTGAGGTACACTATCACGAAAACAGTCCAAGCTCCGATATAGGCCCCGCAATTAAAGCCCATAGCCGGCACAAAGTGGCGATGTCATCGACGACCAGTGACACTTGGGTTGCGATTAAGATGCACATGCAGCTCGCAGCGACCGGCGGCTGGGCTGACCGACGGACAGACACGGAGGACGCGTCGCAGCTTCGAAATTTCAACACACAAAAGCGTCACCGACAACTAGCATACTTTTATATGGCGCGCCCGGGAAGGGGAACCACCACAGGGAGCGGTTGCGATCAGGGCCTTTATGGACGGGGACGTGGGGCCCATTTTCCCGAGCGACGCTTTGCGGCAGCGCCGACTAGTTTCCCGGAAAACTATGTGTAAGCCACCTTCGATGTATCCGCGCTGACCTACCTAGAACTTCGCCACCTTTTCTCTTTAGTTTAACCACCTTTCATTTTTTTTTCTATCATCGATCAAAAATGTTATTAAGCGTAAGTTTTCTTAGGCCCGGTGGTAAAACTTAGCTTAAACTCGAGTTCAAGAACTCTGAAAACGCTGAACTTGTAGTATAAGATTATAACATAATTAAAAGAACAGTTTAATCCTCCAAAAGGGCTGGCACTAAGTTCAACGATATGAATTCGCTGAATAACCTATTAAAATTTTGAACTTGTTTTAAATCTGTACTCGACGAGTAACGACGTAGTATATATAGTACGAGTATGTACCGGGTGGCCAATTAAGAATGGAAGCCGGTTGTTTCTTAGAAACTTTTTATCGTATATATAACTGTGGGAAAAAAATCTAATAAGAAAATCGGCCAAGGGAAATCGGGGTTGAAATTTAATATGTGTAATTGTAGTAGTAGTAGTAAGTAGGCTGTCGATTTCTTATGGTGGAAGTACACACGAAAAATTAACGATATGTAAATTGCTATTGGTTAGGACCGTCCTTTTTTGTCGCGCCTCGGGTCGCCTCGGCGAGTGTGTACTTCCAGCATCAAGCCCCATACTCACACTTCGCCACTTCGTCCCTTCACTTCGTTAATTCACTTTGTCCCTTCACTTCGTGTAAAAACCGACAGTACGGCGAAGGACCGTTTTGACGAAGTAAACGGACGAAGGAGCGAAGGGACGAAGGAACGAAGGAACAAACAGTCGCATCAAATTGACAATTTCCCATGATAAATACAGGATTTTTGGACGAACGGACGAAGTGAAGTGGTGAAGTGTGAGTTTGGGGCTTTACAGAGATCCTGAGCTGTGTATCAGTTCGTTGTACATTACTTTAGTTTTTGCTAAAGATAGATATAATAAGATTTTAATTAACAATTTTGCTCAGAATTTTTTACTGAAAAATAAAATCGAGAATATTAAGTTGTATTGATTTTATAAGCTGAATCATTAATAAACCTATTTAACCTATATCTAGGTATTACATAATCGTTTAAAATGGAGAAATGTGAAGCTTATAAGTGGAAAAAAAATAACGAATGCCAGTCCAAAGTGATATCGCAGGGTTTAATTTCCTATTTAACGGCAAAGCGAGCTCCTTTCTCGGAAAACTATGTGTAAGCTGCTTTCCACGATATCGATAGACTATGACCTACCTAGAAACTCTTTATTTGATCTAGTTCGGCTAGGTCATGAACATAATTTACCTTTTGGTTTAACTGCCTTAAAATACGTCACATGTTAAACTGTAGTAACATTAATACTCTCTAAACTATCAGCACGCAACTACGTAGCACATAAAATTTTATATACATTTTCTTCTTTCTTTTTGTCAGTAAGATTTCTCATGTCATTTGCTCCACAGACAAGAGTCATTATCTACCACAGTATTGTTATTTATTTTATTACCATTTTTTGTGCACTTGTGGTGAATACATCTACTACATATTGCGATTTTTTAACCTACTATAACATAAAAAACATTCTTGATAATACAGGGCGACCCCGCTTTGGAAAATAGCTGTATATCACGCTTCTGGTTTGAGATTTTCACTCAGTTCTTTATTTCACTCAGTATATTTTTGTTATTATACAGGCAATATTTAAATAATTCCCATTATTAACGTTTTCATGTCCAAAATGTGATAATATCACATTCTTTACTGAGCAATTTTAAATATGTCCAGTTTTAGACTAAATTTTCTGCCACTATTTACAGCTCTACAAAATTCCTTATATTTTTCTAATTTGCAGGATTGTTTGACATTAGTGTTCTTCTCAAAACTAGAGGTGTTCTAAAACCTACACTATCATCATTTCCAGCTTATTCAACCATTTCCAATTATGGTGTAGTATTTTAAATGGAACACCCTGTATTTTAGGACATAAATTGATTTAATGGCATATTTCCATTAAAAAATATACAATTTGGTTTAAAAATTTGTTTGAATCATCCTGTATATTGACAAAAAAATATTTTTTAAATAAAATAATAATCAATATTTAAAACATAATTAAAAAAAAATCTCAACCCCGAAAAATAATAGACAGCCTTTTCGGAAGAGTGGGACACCCTGTATAGGTGCACGTTAATGATTAAATGAAGTAATAAAAATAATACCATTCGGTGTTTAATAATAATTTTCCCAGGTATGTTTTGGTCTGCCGTTGTTTAAAAATAGATTTTGAATAGAACAATTATAAAAAAATACTTTTTTCTGGTGTTTGGAAAAATCGGAATTCCTCAGTAATATCAGTTCCCATCCTAAAAGAAAATTGTCAATCGATTTAACATTTTCCTGTATATCCGGATTCGGTTGCATTAATCATAAAATTTATCAGTGTTCAGTTCACACTTCACTTAATCTATTATATGCGGATGTATTTTTAATTACAATAGAGTGATTCAAAGAGGATTTAGATCAAAATGTATTTGAAAAATTCCATTTTCCTATTTAAAATCGAATTATGTTCGATTTTTTTTTGGGAAACTGATCAGCAAACAATGCTGTATGGTTTCATAAAATTAAATAAACCAAGTCTGATGCTTGGCTTTAGATAGACAGGATTTGTTACTTCCTGGGCGATACTGTATATTAAAAAATTAACAAGAAAGAAATAGTAAGGTAAATGTATAAAAAATAAGGAAAATATTAAACGGCTCAGCCCTCAACAACTCGCAACCGTATACCTACACCAGTGTACACCAGTGCAGACACGCACACTCACACAAACACACCTACACTAGTGTACACTGATGTTACTGCCTTCAGGCCTCATCAGTACGGTTAGGAATCAGGAAGCGATGAAACCGATACCAAAACACAAAAAACCAGGAAGCAAACGATGCAACGAGGCACCGTGTGCAACCCCATAGCCCAGAGATGGAAAAAAATGATGAAGTAATTTGATGAGTTTTTTCCGCGGCTGTTCTGGACGAAGCCCACAATCCTGGGCGACTCTGGTTCGGGGCTGCAAATTGGGGCTTTAGGCTCCCGTTTGCTCTTTTTATTTTCCATCATTGATTTTCGTTTCTTCTTCATTTTTTCCATCTCCTGGGTTGCACACGGTGCCTAGTTGCATCGTTTGCTTCCTGGTTTTTTGTGTTTTGGGATTGGTTTCATCGCTTCCTGATTTCTTACCGTACTGATGAGGCCTGAAGGCAGTAACATCAGTGTACACTAGGGCAGGTGTGTTTGTGTGAGTGTGTGAGTGTGCGTCTGCACTGGTGTACACTGGTGTATACGGTTGCGAGTTGTTCAGGGCTGAGCCGTTTAATCTTTTCCTTATTTTTTAAAAAATTAACATACTTTTTACAGGTATGGTCAATAATTTTATTTGGCATTTTCTGAGAACGGTTTCTTCCTAATTATGAAAAACTAAAAATAGGAGCAATTTAAGAAAAAAGATACATTTTTTGAACACTAAAACTTAATATTTTTATCTACATCACCTTTTGGTATTCCCAATTATTGTTCATAGCCTTAATGCGTTATATATTTTTTCCTAAATCCGGGTATAAAAGCATTACTCATGAAATATAGATCACAACCAGTGTCTCAGCTACTCAGTTTTTTACATTAATTCTTTCTGGATTAGATGTAATTGAATAAGATGTCTTTTCTGTTGGTAGTTTTATTTTAACTATGTATAAAATATAGACTATACAATAAATACAAGTAAAATATAAACAAACCGTTTGTATATTTACTGTTTGATATGTAAAGCGTGGTCCACACGCAACAACTTAGCGTACGATTTGCTTGCGTCGACAAAACGTTGCAGATATAACGTACAGACCAAGTTATGGTCAAATTACGAGTTGTCGTTCAGTCTCTTATATTCTGTCATATAATCACTGTTGTGTTTAGTTCTTGCTATTTGTTTAAATAAGTTAAAAAAAGGCAAATTAAACGTCTTAACTATGTATGTCTCTATTAGAATTTCCTGAGAGTCTGAAAAATTTAAGTATATTAAAATAGCATAGCATAATATCTTCATTCCCAGCACCTGATAGGTTTATTAAGTTTCGATAATTCTTTTCTGTAAGCAGTTCTAAGTGAATTAACTTTTTTCGCTACTGTATCCCTAGTCGCTCAGAGACTATCCATAGAATCTCAGGGAAAAAATAAATAAAACAATATAACATATCAAATGTATCTCATGATATACCGTATGATCGAAATAAACCGGCGCTGAGTTGGCTTGGAAATGAACATCAGTGACATTCCGCATATAATTTTACTTATAAAATGACAGCGATCTTTATTTCATAGCCATCGCTAACGTATTTTTTCGAACGTACGGTACTATAATCATATTTATCTTTAATGATCCTTTTTTAATAAGTGGCAACGTTTTTATATAAATCTGGTTCGTGTATATCTTGGCTACTTTGTCTTGTCTTGTACAGTAAGATTTTTCTATTTGCCTATAACGATTTTACTTACTAAAATATCTCAGTGGAGTTTCAATTTAAATATTACTAAATTAATTTATAAAATGATTCATTAGACATACATATAGTATCTATATTGACTAGGGGCATATAAATAGATCATGTTTATTTACTATTGGCAAAACCTAAATCTTTTACACCTATTGGAGGTGGATCTAAAAAAGAATTAATTATTTATTCTAAATTGAATTGAAAAGATACGTCTGCGTTCAAAAGCCGTGCAAAAATTTTAATTAAAATAAGAAATAGGTATAATAAATGAAAGTTACTCTTTTCGAAAAGTCA